AAAACAAAGGGAAAGAACAAAAGGCAGAGATGAAGAGATGACAAGAAACGGAACAGGAAAACTGAAGAAAGGAAAATAAATAAAAAAAACTATAACAAAGGGAAAAAAGTCTAAAAGGAGGAGGAGTCAGAGGTAAAGGGAAGACATGAAATTAGAAAGGGAAGGAAGGAAAAGGAAAGAGATCTGCTGTGTTTCACTGACTATGAGTCACTGTACCAAAACACTCCAAACACAGTCAAGTGAAAAAGGACAATAATTCATAAAAAACACTCTTATAGGCGGCAAAGCATTTCCTCATTCACACAGGCTTTAAATTACCTGTGCAATACCCTCAGACAAAGTCTTATTTTGAAAAGATGGGACTGACCATAAATGAGTTTTTGTAGCCTCTTCATTCTTTTCTACTTTGACAGACAGACATTGACAGACACATGCAGTCCTTCCTGCAGCGCCCCCGGTGTGTGGATGTCTGCATTTACAGCTTGTTTACATTTTTTTTAAATAAAAAAAATTAAGTGGTAGGTATTCCCCACTCCAGATGGGACAAATACATGAAATGAGTTGGAGATAAAATGACTTTTTGCATTAATAAAAGTGTATTATACTCCCCAATTCAAATTCAAGGCCTTTAAAAAGTTTTATTCCACTACCAAAAAGTCTTCACTTTCATGCAAGAGAAGCTTTTTTTTAAGTGTATAAAAGGAAAAAGCGGGAGGAGACAAAGGCTTTCTCAGGTTCTGAGCCTAAACTGTTAGAGTAAACAAGACGCCTGGAATTACAGACATATTTCATTCAGTATCACAGCATCAGGTGTATGCAGGTGAGCGGTGACGGCTGCAGACAATAATAAGACACGATGATTAGAGCCAGCGAGGACATAGGAAAGCTGAGATTAACAGAATAAAAGGAATAATAGAACAGGAAGGTCTCATCTCCCTGCTTCACTTCATGTACAGCATGCTTCATTCCCCCGGCTCATTATATCCTACTATCCTGCCATTCTTTTCTATCCAGGGATCCACTTCCCCCCATATCTCCGACTTGTTGCGTCTCCCTTTCACAGCACAATGCCCACCGCCTCTCCCTCTGCTCTCTATCCACCCCCGCTACTGAATGAGGAACCATGTGTATACGTCTGTGTTGTATCTGTGAGCGAGCGAGTGAAGAACATGTGGGTGCATCCAACTGCACCGCTGAGAGTGGCCATGTGCACGTCTCTCTCTGCGGGGGTGTGAAATAACATCCATTGCAAAAGAAAAGAAAAACAGAATAGAGCACAAACACACACCTGTGATGGGACACTAGATTTCACATAATCGCAGCGAGTGGTTTGTTTTAGAGTGTGAATATCACGCGCAGAGAAGGGTTTTATTTTAAAATAAGGGAGTAAATTAGTAAATCGATACTGGAACAAGCTAAATATAGAAAAGAACTGCAAACACACAAACCAGCCTGTATAAGAACAAACAGGAACAAGGTTCTGCCCCCAGGGCTCGATCATTACGCTGTGAGCTCAGTAAGCAGCTTTAAAAGGTGTCACTGTAGCTCAGGAGGTCATCTGCTTATCGGAAGGTTGGTGGTTCGATACCTGGCTGCTCCGGTCTGCGTGCCAAAGTATCCTTGGGCAAGATACTAAACCCAAGTTGCTCTCTGATGCATCCATCCGAGAGTGAATGTTAGAAAGCACTTAGGTAGAAAAAGAATGGGAAATGTGTTTATATAAATGAGGCATATTTACAGGTAGAAAAGCACTATATAAGAACCAGTCCATTTATCAAAAGCACAGAGATAATCGGATATAATCCTAATTCGGACACACCCATGGCTCATGAGCTAGTTTTATCCTAAAAATGTGTTAACAGAAATTCCAAATCTTTCCAGGGATGGCAGGTTGGGAAACTTTGATGTTATTTATGTTATTTTTATTTGTGTTGTTGCGGGTCCAGCGACAAACTCTCCACAAAAGATGGTCTGATTGTGAAGCTAGTGATGGTGTGCTTTAAGCCTGCATTCTTTCTAATGGCCAGCAGGGGGCTCTCAGCTTTGTCAATCAGTGACCTCAGGAAACACTTTCCTGATGAGTTTATGATATTAGTCACTATTTTTAAGAATTAGCGAGTAAAACATGCTTTTGATGTTGCTCCTTGTCACACCTGGTTTAAAAAATGCTGACCATGTTTATATGAAAAGGTCATTTCATGCCCGTCTTATGCAGTTGTGGTCACAAGTCCATGATTATGAATGTCATGGTAGTTTTGGGCTTTTAATGATTTCTTGGAGTGCTTGTATGGCAGAGTTTAAAAAAACAAGAACTGGGTGCATGAGTTTGAATTCATTTTTGATTTTGTCTAATCTACACAGGCTCAAATATATACGTGGAGGCCCAGTAACATGTGGCTAAATGTCCCTTAGCAACAGCATTCATGTCCATTATGAGTGGATGTAAACTTCTGTATGTATTGATAGGTCTGTGCAGGAGCACAGAGATTCACAGATGGTGCAGAGGGAGATTGCTGCAAACATTTAGAAAAGATCCATGAATATTCAGTTTCTTGCTTCGCTTTCTTCTGTTTGCATTCAAGGGTTAAAGAGGCAATTTTTCTTTTATTTTTGAGCAGCGACACTTTTATCATTTAGGACAAGACTGCAGCGACTTCAGCTCACCTTAAGTATAATGCTTGAGTTCCCAGAAATGTAAATAAGCACACAGCCACACGGACCTTAACATCTGCAACACATCTGTTTGGCCCTAATATGTGATGTAAACAGAGTATACTGATTAGAATGAGGGTAATGCTCAGTGAAAGTAAATGTGATTCTATCCAGCTTGCTGATTATGCTAATGCGACAGCTAGTATTCCTGTGCAGACATGTGGCTTTTTCTTCATTTTTATAGCGCTGACAATCTCGGTCTGTTGTGAAGGCTTCTCCTCTTCCTGCCTTTGAGGAAGAGTTGTTAAATATCTATTAGACCCAAGTTCAACATGAACAACTCAGTTGCATTTGTGACCGCAGAGCAATGCAGACACACCAGCTTACAATGACATGGATTCAGAGCTGTAAAATAAATAAAAATTTGGTTAATTTTAAGTTTAACCGCAGTTTGAAGGTTACCAATCAATGAGCCAGGCTCCGAGAAAGATTCCTGAATATTAAGGCGGATGAATCTTGTCCATAAGTGTCAGAGTTCCAAAGCAGATTCCATTGCAAAGATCTCTGCCGGCTAAAGCATTAAAAATGAACAACAGACTTCTGTGGGCTGAATCTCTTCATCTGTAACCGGTTTTGTTTGGAGGTGGATTCTCCTTCGCTCTGTGGTGTTTACGTGTCTAAAAATGACATCTCTTCTATCCCAGCGAGGCCTCCTGTGCGGTGGCAGTGTTTAAATAGCTGTCTATATGTCAGCGGAGATGTTTGAACTGGATTGCCTGCCTCTCTGCGGATCTCCTCCGCAATCTGCTCCTCTGACCACTTTTGTTCGGCTGCTTCGGGAGCGCTGCAGCTGCTATTTTTGGAAAGGTAGTGGGAGGCTGTGGTCGCACCTTTGTACAGGATGCAGGTAAAGAGACGTTGAAATGGAGCTGCCTTGTTCTCGTTCTCTTTTGAATTTTTTTTCTTTTGCTTTTCATGCATCCAAAATGCAACATGTTCACAAGCATACATGTGATTTCTGCCTATACATACACTAATGTGTGCATTTTATCTGCCTGTCACTGTGTGTGTTTGCTGCCGAGAGAATGCAGGGAGGAAAGAGCATCGTGGTAGCTATGGAGTCGTATCCATGGTGCCGTAACTATGGCAACAAAGCTTGGAAAGCTGGCGACTTAATTGGCATCTCTGAGGCGCCGTGGAGCTGTGATCCAGAATAGCAACCCTTGACACACTAATGTTTCCTTCACATGCCAAACAACACTAGCGTCATCACTGAGGATGCAAACAAGCTGATCAATATCCCGTATTGTTTCCTGCCCTCCAGTCTGTGTGTGAGAATAAAAAGCACAGAATGTATGGAAGACTCAAACTACCAAAATCGAAATTGGAAAAGCCAATAAATAAAGAATAAAAATAAAAAACAAAAGAAGTTGTTAATTCATTTTAAAAACATGGAATAAATTCATATTAATTTTGTGTTTTAAATTAGATTTTTTCCACATTTGTTTTTATCATTTCAATTTTATTAATACAAATATTTTTGTAACTTTCTAAACGTAATTATTTTCTGTCTTTCCATTATTTTCTCCAAATTGATTTATCTATGAATTTCCTTTGTTTCTTTTTTGTTTTGAGGCCTTGTATGGAGGCCCAGTATGGGGGCCTAAAGCTGCCAATATGAAAAAAATAAACAACTACATAAATGATTATTTGTAAACAAAATAAGAAAAGAAATGAAGATGTGAGTTAAAAATAAGACTCTACTTTATTTATTCATTAGTATTTAGCTCAAAGATAAATGACTTACTAAAAAAATGACAGGCCATTACATGTATCAGAAACAATAAACAAAACAAATTATACATGATAATATTATTATTGATTTATATTGATTTATATTTTTGTATTAAAAATATAAGCTAAAAGGATATCTTTAAAATAGTTTAAATAAATAAACTAATGTTCAATTTATTCAATTTATCAACACAATAATAAAGTTAATAATAAGGTCATTTGTTTTTAAAAAATGATTATTTTTTTATATTATTTATTATTTTATTATTCTTTCATGCATTTACATCTGCACAGAAGACATCACCGACAGCTTAGCTCCCCATTTGAGGCAACCAATAAATAAATAGGTAATTATAAAAAAATTGCACATCAGTAAATTTAATCATATCAATTCCAAATATACTGAAATACTGAATGATTTATTAACCAATTTATATATTTCTTTATTTTTTAAAAATTGGGTACATTTGGTCCTCCACAGATGGGAAACCATAATGAATTAAAAACAGCTTAAGATAATAATATTTACATTAGGTCAATTTAAAAAGACTTACAATGTCCACTGCAGCTTCTGGTTCTTGATTGAGTTGTAGAGAGCCTGTAGAGGAAACAAGAAAATCACATTTAGGAAAAATATTAGCAGTGTACAGGTGGACAATTGATCAGATAATGCAGCGCGCGAGTAAAACACATAGGCAGGTTTGTGGTGGTTTTCTGTGAAAACTGCGCAGTAAGCAAGCTGGCTTTATTCAATAAACTGTGGTCAGAGAAATGGCATCCCTTTTCATGCTGCTCAAACTTCCCTTTGCATGAGCTTTACTCATTTTCTTAGCCACACAATCCATCGATCATCCAATCAGTCAGCCACCATCACCACTGCATCAGTAACAAAGCCATTATTCGCCAAGCACCCAGGCCTTTCAATGAATGGACGGGCAAATCAATCAGCCAATAAATAATTTAGACATATGCATCGACCCACATGGAGGAAATTTAAGTTACAGTCTGGGAGCAAAAAGCATAACAAAGACATTAGATCACCGCAACTAACCAGGCCTTCAGTATTTGTAATGTGATGAGTGGAATTTCTCTTTTTATTGGAAAGAGTTTGTACCAAACTCAACATAATGAAACTTGTTGGGAAAGAGGAGCATAGGCAATGCGAACAAATAAAATCCAATAAACCCAAATAAATTATAAGCACATATTTCAAATGTTTACTGGTTACAATTGTTCTTATTTTTTTATTGTTGTAAAAAACAAAATTCTTGACTAAATAATTTTATTTACTCACATAATAAGTGACACGCAAACTCTTTCTAGACAAACAGGAGTTGAGCACAGGTATTTTAACTGTAATGACATCACATCAAGTAACCAACTATCAATGGGCCAAAATGACTCATTTGTAGGATTTATGCACCTGTAACACCTTATATAAGCATGGCATCAATTTAACTAATTTATATCCACTAAGTGTTCATCATGATACATCATTATCCATAATGAAGGTGCCTAGCAACCATCTAACAATGAGCTAAAATCACAGACAAACAGTACCCTAGCAGGGACTCACACCTCTGATTTGCACTGGGGATGTGTCATGGGTTTGAAATGTGGTTATGTTTATTTTTCATTCTGCTCCCTCTACCCTGTTATCAGTTTTACTTCCCGTCTCTGCTTTTATCTTTTATTGTCGCTCCTTTTTTCAATTAGTCAGTGTAAATACACAAACTGTGTAGCTCTTCCCATTTTCTTCCCCAGTCTTTATTCATAGTTCCTTCAGGAAGACTTTCATTAGCTTACTTTCTTATTTTAATGGGCTCCTAAAATAAGGGCAGGAATTTTAACATGTCTTATTTAATCCATTTTAGGTATCTAGTGAATGTATGCGAGTATGCGTTAAAATAGAGAAATGTTATTAAAGCTTGGTGTTACTCAAAAAAGGCTTCTAGGTTTTCTCAAATTTGTCAGACCTTTGACGCCCCTGCTAACTGTTTACCTGAAAACTTCTGTTTCTTCCTGATTACATTTTTGGGTTTAGGATTTTACATTTCCTGGATTTAGGTCCTTTTCCTTCCTGATAAATGTGATAAATCAAAGCAAAAATTGTAGAGAAAAAAAATCCAGAGAAGTGTTTTGTATCCGTTTGCTTGCTGATTCTCCACATCCTTTGCACCAGTTATCATTTTTAGGTCATTACTTCCTCTCACAGCAAACACAGTCTTTTACTTATATTATCATCATGATCAGCACAAGATGAAAACAAAAAACAGAGGCAAAGATGGGTTTTAATGAGGGATGCGGTCAGCTGCTGCTTCTCTGATCTGAGAGTCGGCACATTTGGCTTTAGTTTCCTCAAAATCTGTAGTGACAGTCAGGACCATTAGACACTTCTCCTTCAGCTCCCCACACACCTCAATGACATCGGCCTCGGCCAGCTGAATGTGACACATAGCAGCTTAGTTTCACAGCCGGGCTGCTGCAGAGGAGCGGGGTCAGAGGAGGCAGCAGGAGGCCATCGGGCTGTAGAGTTTAAGGCAGTGAGTGCAGCTGAAAGACAGATGTGCCGGCTGAGGTGATGGAGAGGACACTTACGGGCAGTTCATCTCTGAATTCCTCGTGGATCAATACCACGCGTCTTCTTAAGAAACCTCAAACTAAAACCAGTTTCATTACACATATTAAGCCGCTGGTTGTCACTCACGTTTTAGACTTTCAACCTAAACCGACTTAATGATGGTGTTTGATTCAGTGATCTAATCAGATTCATTCGCAGCTTTGAAACTGGGCCTAATCACAAATACTTCCAGAGTGCCATGAATATTGATGACCACCCAGAGGAGACCGTTACAGATTTAGGTCTGTTTTGCTCCTGCTGCTGTAAAACTCTCGAGTTATGTTTCAAACTTAACTGCGCTCATGCATTTTAATAATCACGACAGACAGGGAAGATCTTCCTGGGATGCCCGAGTAGGAGACAAACTGCTACGGTAGCAAAAATCCGACCAACATCAAATATTAACAGTGAATTTGTAAGCAGTAAAAGTGCAGTGATGTGACTGCAGAAGTTTACGTGTACAACTGAGGAAAACTGCTTGTTTTCAAAAGATTCAAAATGCTGACAACAAAAGGACATGCATGTGTCATTCCCAAGGTTACAAAATACTAAAAATTAGAGGTTTCAATCACTCAACAAAGAGTTTTGTTGGTTTTGTCCTTAGCCAGTAATAGAGCCAGGTTTGGACTTTCTTATTAAAAAGTAAAATGATTCTGTTTTTCTCAAAGATCTGGATCAGAGGTATTTCATATCAATATTTCACTTCTGATGAGCTTTTAAATCTTATTCAGTAACATATAAGGCTGTTATCTACCCTCTCATTTGGTTCTGAATAAGTGTAGTATGGTGAAAAGGAGATTTGAAAGTATTTTTCATTATAATATCCCAAGATTTCTCATTTAGGGTCACGCTTGTGGAACTTTTAGTGAGTAAATCTGAAGAAATTTCAAAAATAGCCTGGAGCTTCAAGTATGCGTAATATTCTACATTTGCCTCCACTTCAGCATAGCTCTGATTTGCATGCTGCATGTGCAGAAACTGTGTCACAGCTGAGTCTATTTGGTGAGTTATTTCTGAAGAATATGTTTTATTTGTATTTCCCCTGATTGTAAATCCTGAGGGATCGACGGTGTTGAGAGTCATTGAGTCTGAAGGCTTACTCAGACAAAGATGGATGCTCGTCACCTTCACCTACTTGCTCCATCAACGTCACCAAGTGGCAACAGATGAGAGCCATTAGCCTTGAGTGATGGCGTTAAGCGGCGCCCTGTACTGAGCCATGCTATACGTGCTGTCGGGTCTGGCAGAAATCCAGCCGCCTTCATCAACCGCTCTGCACTCCACATGTATACAAGCAGCACAGGTGGTAAATCAAACAGTAAACACACGCTCTCTCAGATATAGGGGTACAATAAAAGGCCGTTTCTGTCCCTACAGGTGCAATCTGCATAAATATACACACTCTGTAGGTAATTGCCAGACCTTCTCAGGGCAAAAAAAGGACACACACATATTTCTTACCATTTCAAGTACATATTTGAACACTTTGCTTTAGATTTAAAGGTGTAATATCAGGAGGCGACGTATAGAAATAGGCATAAAATCCTTGATATCTATTTGGATAACTTCTAGTACAGTTTGAGCTGTCTGTACGACTAAAAAAAGTCGTATGCAACTAAAAGTTTATGAATGAATAAGAACAAAAATATATCTAAAAAAAAAAAATAGGAATCCCTGGGCCAAATGCAGTCCATCCTTTAATCCATCCATTAAGGTACAAACCACAAGGGTACAAGTAAGTACGCCAGTCAAGGGTGCAATGGGAGTATCTTAGAGGCTATAGCGAAGTTTTACCCCGTCAGATATACAATTAGCTAGGCTTTTATCAGCTTTCATAAACTGGATTTTTTCATCCAGCTCATATATCATGAGAAAAACAGAAAAAAATACTTGAAATAATAAATAAAGACATACATTCCTGGGTACCCACGTGCCCAATTTTGGACATCAAGGTGCAAAACTGTCATCAAAAGTTCAGGATTTCTGTGAGTTCCAAACAATCTGGGTACAGTTAAATAAGCTGCTGTGCTCGAAATGTATAATCAGCAAGGCTGCTATAAACTAGCCAGTGTTCGTCTATCGGCCCTGATTGAGCTTCCTGTCATCGACTTTCTGAGAAAATTAGACTTCATTTTAGATTGTTATTAACCCCAGATAGAGTAAATAATTTCTTTCTGAGAACAGTTTAATAGAACAAAAGTTATATATTCGAATTGTCTGAACTGACGGTTAGGATTGAGGTCTTGGACCATCAAGTATAATTACATACGAAGCCCTACATAGCCAAGCTCTTGTTTATATAATATACCTGCTGAGACCTTATTCCAGCGACCTCTCTAACAGCTGATTGGGGCCCTTTAAATGTTTCACTTTCTTACTTTAAATCGAGCTTTTGCAGCTGCAGAATTAATCAGATTTCAAACAACTGCTTAAAATGTATTTTATAGGTTAACTGTAACGACTCCCACTTTCAGACCATTTCTTCTGCTTAAACATGTGTGTGCATGTACTCTATGTTCACATCCTTAATGTGTTTTCTCAAATCTGCTATGTTTGAAAGACAAATAAAGTTATTACCGATATTTGCTGTACAGTGCAGGTTTAGGCTGTAAACAGATGTGTGGCTTTGAATGGCACTGAGCACTTGTGACATGAGCATGAAATGGAAAAATGATTCATCTCTTTTGTGCTGCAGAATACATCATTTTAAATGAACAGCATGGTTTTAAGTACCTTCCTCCTCTTCCTGGCCTGTGGGTGGTTCTGTCCGTCCTGAGCTTTGCCCAACAGGTCTGGGAATACCAGGGGTTTGAGTGAACGCGAGCGCGGGGTTCTGGGATACCGGAACGGGTCCATCATCCGGAAGTCCCTGCCGTATCGCACGGTGCAAAGAGAGCGTGAGCGCAGGCGCCCCGCCGAGTGCAAGCTGTTGACACCAATCATGGTGACGGATTACACAGAAGTGTCTGAAGATCAGT